GTCCATACCATCAATATCAAAACTACAAAGTACGGGCGTAGGGCACCTTGTCAAAGCCTTAGAGCGGAGCACCACGAGCTAGTAGATCAAGTGTGGAACTCTCCTTCAATATTTAAAAAAAATGTTTTCCAGTCTAGAATTTAATGAGGTCCGACCTCACTTGGAAATGAACGGGCGGCGGCAAAAAAAATATAATGCCCCGCTCTCGGTGTTTAGTCGACCACGGCTCAATCCTTGGACAAGGAAATGATCAAACTATTTCTTAAGTCTAGGATTAGCGGTTCGGTCCGGGCGACCGTAAGACCGGCCCCCGGGGTCGAAAAGGTATGCGAGAGGTCATGCCCCGAGCCCCTATCGTACACCCGTTGTTCGACGTTGCTGTCTAAACAGCTCGCATACTCATTTGATCCAATCAATGGTGCGGCGACTATATGACCGGTCTTCAAGCCGAAGGTATGCGAGAGTTCATGCTCCGAGCCCCTCTCGTACATCCGTTGTCTGACGTTGCTAGGCTTAACAGCCCGCACACTCGTTTGATAGGGTCAGCGGTGCGGGTCCGTTCTGGTCTGATCATGCAGGGCCTCGCCCTTACGTTTGGCCGACTTCAGTTTCACTTTCAGAAAGGGATAACCAGATTTTTCCTAAGTATGAAACTAGCTATACAAGTCAAGGTGAAAGACCGGCCTCCGGGTCGAAGGTATGCGAGAGGTCGTGCCCCGAGCCCCTCTCGTACATCCGTTGTCTGACCGTTGTCCGAAAAGCTTGCACACTCATCGGTCCTAGCTCGATAGTGTGCGGGTCAGCCCCGCCTTACCAAGCAGGGTGCGGTCAAGGTCGGCCCTGCCAACCTTCCGCCCCTCACGGCCTAGGTGGGGAGCCAGATCCTCGATTAGTTCTCCAAGTATTCTTGAATGAAAAATGACTAAGTAAATTGAAAGAACGAACGACGCATATATACAAGCTGAAGCGAAAAATCAATCACAGAGAACAAGTCCAAGATCATCATTTCCCAGTTTTCTTCTCCTCATCATAGGTAGTCTGCATACCATGTCAGCCAATTGCAACCCTCCTTGGTCCGCAGCTAAGCTCGGATATACTCCGGACACCGGTCTTCAATCCTGGAAGTGACAAGCTTCGGAAACTGTAATGGGCCTTGAACAAAGCAACTGCCTCATCTCCTACATCATCGAAGCTCAGACATGCTCCAGATGCATGCCGGGCCTCGAGCCTAAAGCTTGCTAACTCCAAGATCACTAGGGAGGCTTTAACACCGCAACTACCTTATGATCCGCATTCCGGGACAACGCATTCAACTAGTCTTACTTTGATTTAGGTTCGAATGGAACTTTCATATCCTTGGTCGCCGCCACGCTCGGGCATGCTCCGATTGTTGGCTCCGTGGGAAGCTATGTAGCTTCATGGCATCCTCAGTTTTATCCGTCCACTCCTGAGCCTAGACTACATAGCGCTGGTTCAGGCTCTTCTTTAACAGGCTTCAAAATTCAAACTAAGTGCGTGGTCATGACGATGCCTATAATCATCACCTCACCATCCATACCAAGTCATGCACGCTCATCTCAGTCCAAGTTCGTGCAAGGCTATCTCCAAGTCAAGTTCGTCTAAGGCCATCTTTCGGTCGAGGTTGCACGTGCATGACAGTGCATGAATTACATATGGGCTTATTGGCGGGCGAGAGCCAACCCAAGCTCCGAGCTCGGGTCTCTCACTCCTAAGGATGAATCATGGTGGACTACTCACTGCATCCTCCCGGGAACGTCAGGCGAGCATTGCTCACAAGTGAAGACCGGTCTTTGCCATCCCCTCAGTAGATGGCGACCGTTGCAGCTGCACGTAGTGGCCGGAGAGCTCACCCATTTGCTTGGTTTTAAACAACATCTCGGGCTGCTAATTGGACAAACAAGACCCCGGGCTGCTAATTGGACAAACAAGACCTCGGGCTCCTAATAGGATAAGCAAGAGTTCAGGCTGCTACCGAGATGAAGGAAAATCCTATCCTTTTGTAAGCAATGGGGATCAACGTGGACAGTATAGCATCCGACCTTTCTAGATCATATCTCGGTTGTCCGTCATCAGCGGACAGCTGGGTGGATAGAATCTCCCAAGGATATCCCGGATCACCATCCTCAGCATACAACTGCGACCCGCCTTCTCCAAGCATACCTTGGCTCAACCGACACCACTGGCAAACAACCGTGCGATTGGTCTTTTCGGAACATATCTCGGCCTACCAGTAAAGCAGGCACTCAATCAAGAACTGTGGGGATTGACCTTCCTTTGCTTTATTTTAAGGCTCCGGTGTACTCTTTTTCCTTCACTACGATTTTTTCCCACTGGGTTTTTTCCTAGTAAGGTTTTAACGAGGCATCCCGTCATCGTGAATAAAGGAAGAGGTCTCCCGGTCAGAACAAGGAAGACTCCATCCTTTCACAAGCAACCAGATCAAATTCAAGGCTCGTTAATAACCGGCTAACCAGACCATGAACCGGACCAATTCCAAAACAGCTTAACTACTCCATTTTAGCTGAGTCTAGTACTCGACTAAGGGAGTGGGGGACTCGTGTTGGGATAATGGGCCAGGTCCAAGAATATTGGCCCGTTACCCCTGGGCTTTGGTCCGACCAAGCTCAGAACACAGTTCGGCTAGCAGATACTGGTCCGGGATTATCGAATTACTTATCGAGTTGACTGGCCCATTAGCGTTAGTATTAGTTGATAAATCGGGCCAAGCCCATGTAACATCTAATTGGTGGGCCTTTTGTATACGCCTATAAATAGGCCACCAACCCTTTGTATTCTGGGAAGTTATTTTCACTATACTGAAATGCTGCCGAGTTCTCTACCCAGGTTATTTTCTACCAACATCTATAAATTTCACTTTACTCAATATTTGGGGACACTTGCTTTTTAAGATGCAAAATCTGGAATTGACCTCTTTTCCTATCAAATGAAATCTCGTTGTCACATGGAGTTGACTCCATGCAGGTGAAGCATTTAATGTAGAAATTCCGTTGTCACTTGCACAATATTCTGTAGGACTTCCCAATTGTTCATTGTATCAACTATCAAAAGCTGATAAATAAACGTTTTACCTACTTTTATGGATCTATGGAAAACTGCTCTATACACAAAATGTAGGCTTCTTTCATACTACGTATTATTAAGATTGGTGTGAAGATCTGAGTGAATCATCATTTAATACACTGAATCAGTTAAAGAAGTACTTTTCCTTTAGATAGAGGCATAATTACATTTATTTATAACTTAAGTTGTGTTTGTTTCCAAGAAAGTAATTTAGTTTAGGATTGGGGTGAGCATGGTATGGGATTTGGGTTGTCCCAGACCAGGACATAGTTAATAATAACGGTTTGAAACCATACTGAAAAAGCCTTGGTCCTATTCGTGTCCCGTTTGAATTGGGACTGGGACTATTTGGGAGGGTTCAAAAACAAAATCCTGTAGCCGAAGCACATGAAGTATCTGAAAACATTTCATTATGTTGATACAGTATATAAAAAACAATTATATACTATGTGGAATACTATATTTTGCTACAATTATCAATATATTTGCCATAATTCTAATTTAATGATTTCATTATGTTGATACAGTATATAAAAAACAATTATATTATGCATAATCTATTGGATATATGGTTTACTTTCTAAAAACATTCAATAACGGTTGGTGGTTTAACCCATATAAAAAGGATTTTATATGAGGTATTACTAGACTGACTCGAAAAACATTCTATAACGGTTCAATTCGAACCGTTATAAAAAACATTCTATAACGGGTGTGACTACCCGACACAAAAAGAGTTTGACTTTCTATATCGCTGGCTACTATGTCATTACGGGAACCGACATAGAAAGTGTGTTTTAACCCATATAGAAAGTGTTTTCTACACTAGTGTGTCTACGAAGCCTCACCGTAATTCGTCTACATTTAGTGTTGCCGCCAGAGGATTGGAAAAGGGAACCCTTCAATCGTGTTTATCTCCGGCGAGGGGAGTTTCCGTTCGTCTGTGCAACTTGAATCTGCATCTGGCCGGATCGTGGAGGAAAGCGACCGGAGAGATAGTGGAGCGAGCTTCGATTTGCCGCTGGAAACGAAGGGCGAGCTGTGCTGTTACGACTCAGGCGACGCTGCTGGCGGTGATTTAACAGACGACTACATTGGATCCTCTCCGTCCCATAGGGCTCTACTAATTCAGCCGCTCCGTGATTCCAGCCGCAAAGGATCAAGCAGCTGGATCCGGTAGCGTCGATGAATATCCCAATGCCCAAGAATTGCAGAATTGCTTTTGTTTTTTCTAGAAATCTTCACCTTTCACGGATCGATTTTTGTTTGAATGTATGAAATTGTTGAACTTTTTGTACGAATTTTTGAATGATTTTGGGAGGATCTCACTTGATTTTGATCAAACTCTCAATGAGAGCACCAATGATGGAATATAATTCTAGTGAAAAGAGCTTAATCAATCAAATATTCATTGATCGTAGGAAGGAAAGTAATAGCAATATTATTCGTCTGGAAAAGCCCCCCTTTACAAGAGATGTACAAGAGTATTTATAGACTACAAGAACTAGTATTCTAGTATGAAATTGATACAATAAATGCTATTAATTGCATATTAATTCGAATAGGACTCTTGTAACGTCTTAGCCATTGCTATATAGCTATGTTGGAATGATATCGTGCCACATAAGCCCTCGGAATATCCCGGCCTCACTAGAACTCCGCCCATGCTCGAGGTCTGCTGTCCAGCCTGGCCTGGTTGTAGGTTCCTTTCGTGGGTTGGATCCCGAGTTAGGCCCAACGGTTAATTAATATTAATCTCGTGAAGGGCTGATCCCGTTGATGGACTGATCCCGTTAATGGGCTTTGCTTTTTTTTATCAAGAAAATATAGATCTGAATATCTCCAAACACAAAAACTTGAGAACATACAGTTCATTAATCCTATCATTAATTAATGCTAAGATATAATCCAAAATCAATCTAGAAGCATATCATATCTTGCACAAACTAACCCAGAACTTATGCTTTAGAAGCCTGCTTTTCTTTGGCTTTCTGAATCTTCAAAACCTTTTTCACAATCTTTTGTTTTTCAACCAAAAAGGCTTTTGTGATCCTTTCACGAACAGCACTGCCCGAAAGCACTCCACCATAGGCACGGTTTACAGTGCTACGGCATCTGGGCAATCTTGACCTCTTGTATTCAGCAGGTCTCAAGTGAGGAATCCCTTGAATTCTCTTTCCGGTTACAGGGCACTTAGGACCACTAGCCCTCTTCTTTGTGTTCTGGTACACAAGCTTCCCACCAGGTGTTTTGACGACCCGATTCTGATTAGACTTAGTGGCATAGCTATGCCTTGACCGGTAGACCAGCCACTGCACCATTTTCACAATGTGGGTTGCTCTCGATTAGCTGGTTTTCGGGCTGAAGCAAGTGAAGCCCCGTTAATGGGATTTGCTTTAATTCAATCTTGGGCCATGGTAATGATCCATGGTACCGTCACTACGTAATTTATAAGCAAATGTGAAGTAATAAGTGATTAAGAATTTGATGTTTCTAAATCTCACAAGAAGAGAGTAGTTGTCCTTTTGAGAATAAATCAATTTGAATTCCTTGAAACAAACCTGGCAAGCAATCTTATCAAAACTACAATTTCTTTAGTGGGTGGTACTTTTTATTTATTTGTTGATCATTAGTAAGTCTAAAATCTAAGATATACTACCTCCGTCCCGCTATGATTGTCCCATTTTATCTTATCGGTCCATCCCACTAAGATTGTCCCATACCAAATTTGATAAAGTTTGTGTGGCTCTAAATTATTCTTACTTTAATATCAACCACATAAAACACTTTTAAACTTTTTATTAATTTGTGTTCCACTCCCTCTTGTCCCATTGTTAGCGGGACGGAGGGAGTAGTTTACAGAAAGGAAATTAGGGGTATATAAGTCTATTAGTTTTATAACATTGAAACTGACTTAAAATTCACATTGTTTGAATTATGGAAACTTTGTTTAAAATATAGTTTATTAATAAAATTAAGAAACCTTTCAAAAAAATAATAAAAGATTATAGGAAAAAACCTAAAATTATCCTCTTTTGCAAACTCAGTCTATTGAAAAACAATTTGGCACTTACTTATTTTGATTTACACGATGCAATGTGTTAAATCAAAAATTTATTGTTTGTACAAAAATGAATGAAAAAACTGACATTAGTTGATAGGCCAGGACACAAAATGGACCTTATATGTTTTTATGACGCCTTTATTGGTTTTCAACCTGCTTTCATTATATACTTATTTGATGCCATGTTGATAACATTTATGTAATTCTAATTTATGCTAATTTATTTTTATTTGATCAATTTAATATCAACTACTTTCTTAATAATGAGTGTATTATTTTTACATGTCAGAATTCTAGTGGAGCAAAGTAGTGCGCAGTAGTAAGTATTAGCATGATTTTAATTGAACTCAAAATTTCTAGTTAAAATCTTGTCCGACCTAGTTTGAACTGGTTTGGTCTGATAGGTGTTTTTACAATTGTCTAAATCTGGTCTGAACAAGATAAATATGCCTAATATTTTTTGTTTAAGTCTGACCTGGTCGGATTTGGGACTAAAACCTGTCCAAGTGAAAACATGCTTACTATTGATGTTTCACATATTGCATTATATTTGTCTCATCAATTTTTTCTTCATCCAAACTAAGCAAGGGGTGGTCTACATATTAGCTATGGTGTGTTGAAGCCTAAAATAACTCCAATTCTTTTCAATTTTTTAGTGTCATTATTTTCATTTTTCATATTTAGCTCACCCCGCTAATGTACCGTTAAAACCTAGTATAACTGCTTCTTAGCTCAAGACATACCATATTCCCGTTTCCGCCCCAAATACTAAGTGTGCGTCATAATGCATTTGCTCATTCATATCTGGATAGTTCAAAATCCTTCGTATTTTATAAAAACAATATCAACACATAATCTTATACGGAGTATATATTATTCAATAAATGTGTATTTTTCTCATTTCTCATCAAATATAATAAAACAATGTTAATACCTATGCATAAAATAATTCTACCATTAAAATAATACTCTGTATTAAGTTAACATATACGTACTAATATTATACTGCATAAATTTGGGAATGGTTGCTTATTATTATTAAAGATATTACTGCTATTGCAATTACAATTATTATTAATTAATACAGAGCGAAAGTTTATTACTCCTCTATTCACTTTTTATTTTAGTCATGAGAATACGAGAAGTGACAAACTTACTCTTATTTTTCCTTTTACTTAAAGTCGTCTGCTTTATGAGAAATATGACAAAATAATAAAAAAATCAAACTTCATTTACTTTATTTATTTCATTTATTGTTGATAGAGTATATAGAATCACACCCCGGTGTCACGATATTGGGTTTGGACAGCAACGCACACATAATTATCGGATATCATTTACATTATTGTGCATAACTATTATTAGAGTAATCTAGATTAGCCTGTTATATTATCAGTCCTTTTATGTAATCGGTCTGTTAGGCCCATATTAGAGACTCAATCCCAAATTTTTCTTTATATACTCCTCTTTGTAAACCCCAATTCCTAATCAATATTCATACATTCGATACAAAGTAGCCCATCATGGTCGAGCATACATATACGATGTGATAGTCAGATCCCGTTATACGACGACCACCCAAACTGGTTGTTTAGCACTTTAGCCTCGTCACGTGTACACAAGGCAGTCAGAGAAAGAGGCAATCTAACAAGTTTTTGATGGGGAACCAAAAATGGCGGGAAGTGCATTTAGTGCATGTGTTCAACAAGAATTGAAGAGGAAAGTTGAGCGAACGGGAGGGCGGTGTGTCACTCTCGTACGCTACCACCTCCAACTATAAATGTCTCATCTTTAATCTAAAAAAGGATTATGCATTCAATAACATCTACTTTTTTCAACAACATCTACTCTCAAATTTTGAAGCGGCGGTCTCTTCCCTCTTCGTAGGGTTTGGCAATTTCGTCGATCTGGTGCGGCTCGTGCAAGGCGAACAGAAGCAGAGGATAGTAGATGAAGACGAATGGCTCAAATCAGCAGGTAATCGGCGGCCAGCATGAAGCGAAGGAGGAGAGCCCAGGCGAGAAGTATGTGGGACGAGAAGAGTTGCACGAGATTCGAATAGGTCAGATTTCGATCGACAATGGAGGTTCAATTAGAGTGGTACCAATGATACGGCCTCCTCCTGAACCACCGCCATGGGTTGTACGAGGTGCTAGAGTCCGTGATAGTTTTCGTATTAGTTATTATTATTTTGTCATTTGGTTTCTTATTATCGTTTTGGTTGTTAGGTCTATCAGTTTATTTGGGATGTTAGCCTCTTTTAATTTTGTCAAGACTCTAGAACCTAGGACAGGTGATGGGGAACTTAGTTTACTAGTCATTGGCTCAAGTAAGCTCAATTTAGGATCAGCGAATCTGGGTGCTTCATTAGAGGTGGCAGATTCTAAGTCTGGTTCAAGTGCAGACGGTAGACTATGTGTGTCTTTGTCTGTTTGTACCCTGCTTACGTTCTTTCTTATTAATATAAGCCACCCACTTCTAAAAAAACATCTACTCTCATGTATTCTAAACACCTTGGTGAATTTGAACGAGAGCAAAGTACAGGGATTTTAATTTATTTGTTCTCGACTGCATCATACGTGATCTTCCATAAATACGAACATAATAGACTCTGTCCTTGCCCATTCTCCTAAATCTCTTATTCATTAATTATATACTTTGATTCAACCATCCACCCAGGGGCGGAACCCGGTACTGGGTCGGACTAATTTGGTACAAAGAATATTTTTGAAAACTTTTTTACACGGAATTTTTTACACTAAAAATATAGACATTTTTAAAATTTGGGTTGGGCGTGGGCTGGCCCTCCCCTAGCTAAGCCCTGCATCCACCAAAGAATTTGTGTTGGAACCTTGGGCTTGGGGAATGACCTCAACAGACTAATGCTAAATCATGGCCCAATTATGTAATTCAATAAACCCTCAATTATCCACGCAACATAAATCCTAGTGCCAAAGTCGAACAACATGAAATTATATAGTGGCGAATGGATTTGGACGAAAAACGATCGTCTAGTCCTATGCATCTCCAAATTTTTGAACAAAAAAATAAGAAGTTACCCTTAATATGAATACATTGTAGGTCACGTGTCTAAAATATGAATATAATTTTTCCCCCTAAATTGTATCGTCCTTTTGAAACTATATTATCACATTGAAGTAATACTGACGTCTTTTTAATGTTAAGATATTATGGTTACTTCTATTGACGAAAAAAAGATAGTTTTTATTTAGGAAAAACACATATATTTTACTCCTATTTTAAGAATTTTTCAATTAAAATGTGCCAATATATTTAATTAATTTTTATCCCATCTTAACTCTACATGCATGCTTGCAACTATAAATAAGAACTAAGAGATCTCATTTGATCGAGTTATTTAAAAATTAAAGCCCCTTTCAAAAATCTCATATTCAAGAACACTAGGGATTTGAAAACTAAAAAATGGAAGGCTTAGTATATACTATGTATTTAAAAATCCGAAGATTCAAATACTATTTGAAGCAGAGGTTTTAAATATTTAATCCTTTTCAAGTCTCTTTAATTTAAATCTTTGGAAAGAATCAAAGGACCCTCACTCTCCTTCATTCAAAATAAACCAGCACACTTTATCTTACACTTTCATAGTTTCATGAATTCTACTCTATGTGTGTTTCAAGACCTACTTATTCCACTTTTTTATAAAAAAAAAAATCAAATACGTGTTTTACGGCCTAATTGTCAAATAAAAGCTTATCAAAAGAAAACGTTCTAATTAGTTTTGATAGTTACTCCTAGTTTTCTTGCCTTTTCTTTCTATCAACCATACCTTTTTTATAAACACTTTACAATTCTCCTATCATTTTGATCCATCTTTAAAAATGCATAAAACCAAACTGGTGGATCAAGTTTTTTAATACAGAGGGGTTATTAGATGTAACATATTTGAAACTGGGGTAAATAACATATCTGACAACTTTTGACAAATCTGACAATCTTTAGAGTTTTGTTCGAGTAAAATTTCTTTAAAAAGCTTTGAAAATAGGAAAAATGGAAACTAATAATCCAACCTTTTAGCGGTATTTTTATAATAATTCCACATTATCGTAGTTCAGGAAGACGGAAGCGTACCTGACTCCATAGGAAAAATGGAAACTAAATCCGATAATACTTTAATCTTCATATTGAAATTATCTAGATAATTAACTGAGCGGAAGCGTACCTGACTCCATAGGAGATGATCTTTGGAGATCTGGGAGACAGAGACTAGGGTTTGCGTCTTCTAGTTGATACACACCCTCGGGATTATCTCTCTAGCGATGGGATGCAGAAAGACGGAATGATGTGTTCAACTAGGGATCATAACCCCTTATTTATAGAGAGTGCTTAACCCTAATCAGCCCATCATTGATTAGGTCAAGCCCATGGGTCTCTACACATTTGGGTCCTATACCTTATTAGATAACTTATTAGCCCACTTAAATTAATATCCATAGGACCACTAATTTTTGGGCCTAAATATAAGATAGCATATAACATACAATTAAACCCGATAAATAATATATTGTGAATATTACATGCAATATAAGTCCAATAATCTAACAATCTCCCACTTGGACGACATACACATGTATACACAATCCTCAGAATTGTATGTTTACTTTAGGAGCTCCAAAATTTTGCTATCAAATTGTAGTCATCTTTAATCAATCCGGTCCATTAATTATATCAACATAGGATCAAAGAAGTCTTTGCTATATTTGAATAACTAGACCCATCAATGATCACATATATTAATATAATAAACGACATGGATCAAGTATAGGTGTGTAGCGTGGAAATAACATAAAGTGTGGTCTGGAATAGAATGTCTATTTCCAACTGGTCCACCTTGAGATCAATAATATAACTGTAAGAGTACATAAAACTTTAAACTTTATTTCTGCAGAAAATAACCTTAAAAACTTGAATCAAGTCAATTAACCAAATATAGAAACATTACAAACTCCCACTAAAACTCATAATCCTCAACTGATTTGACACCCATTTGTGCAACATGCTCATGAAACACTTTGGGTGGTAATCCTTTAGTGAGCGGATCCACAATCATGGAGTTTGTGCTAATGTGCTCTATAGATAACTTTCCTTCTTGTACTCGTTCCTTAACAGCCTTAAATTTGACCCCAATGTGTTTTGCCTTGGTCAAACTACTGTTGTTCTTAGCATAGAGGACTGCTGATCTATTGTCACACAATAGCTTAAGTGGTCTTTCAATGCTGTCCACTATGCGTAGTCCACTAACAAAATCTCGCAGCCATAATGCCTGATTGGATGCCTCATAACATGCTATAAACTCTGCTTCCATGGTGGAAGTAGCTGTAAGAGTCTGCTTGATACTCCTCCAGGAGATAGCTCCTCCAGCTAGAATATAGATGTAGCCTGAAGTGGATCTCAAGCTATCTTGACATCCAGCAAAATCAGAGTCGGTATACCCAATGATCTCAAGCTAATCCGATCTCCGATATGTGAGCATATATTCCCTTGTTCTCTGTAAATACCGCATGACCCTTTTGGCTGCTTTCTAATGGTCCATTCTCGGATTGCTCAAATATCTGCCTAACATCCCAACAATGTATGCCAAATCAGGTCTTGTACAAACCTGGGCATACATCAAACTTCCTACAGCCGAAGCATAAGGAATGTTCCTCATTTCTTTAGATTCAAAACCATTCTTAGGACACTGCATGAGACTAAACTTGTCTCCCTTAGAAACTGGGGTATCTCCTGGTTTGCAGTCTTGCATACCAAACCTTTTGAGAACCTTATCGATATAGCTCTTTTGTGAGACTCCAAGAACGCCTTTGGAGCGATCTCGGTGAATTTGAATTCCTAATACAAAAGAAGCCTCACCAAGATCTTTCATTTCAAAATTCTTTGAAAGAAATCTCTTAGTTTCGTGTAATAAGCCTATATCGTTAGTAGCAAGCAGTATGTCATCAACATACAAGACCAGGAAAATATGCTTACTCCCACTGAACTTGTGGTATATACAATCATCACTGACGTTTGGTTGAAAACCAAAAGATATAATGACTTTATGAAACTTGTGATACCACTGACGAGAAGCCTGTTTGAGCCCATAGATGGATTTCTTTAATTTGCAAACCATTTTCTTTGAATCTCCCGAAACAAAGTTTTCTGGTTGCTCCATATAGATTGATTCCTCAATGTCACCATTGAGAAATGCAGTTTTTACATCCATCTGATGAAGCTCAAGATCAAAATGTGCCACTAATGCCATTATTGTTCTAAAAGAGTCTTTCGAGGATACCAGAGAGAAAGTCTCTTTATAGTCAATTCCTTTCTTTTGAGTGTAGCCTTTAGCAACAAGACGAGCTTTAAACCTTGTAACATTGCCCTTTGAATCCCTCTTGATTTTAAATATCCATTTACAATCAATGGGTTTAATACCTTCAGGCAATGAGACTATCTCCCAAACGTCATTGTCACTCATAGACTTCATCTCATCTTTCATGGCATTAATCCATTCTTGAGAGTTAGAACTTTCCATGGCTTGACGGAAGTTGATTAGATCATCTTCCGCAAAACCAACATCTGATTCTTGTTCTTGGAGGAAGACAATTATTTCTTCCACCAATTCCCAATTTTCCTCATGTTCTTGGAGAAATACAATATAATCATCCGGAATTGCGCTTCTCCTCTCTCGAGTGGATCTCCTTAACGGCACCTCAGGTTCTTGATGTTGTTGAGTTTGATCCTCATTAATAAATTCAGGTACTTGATTGGGGATGTTTTCGAGATTGTCATGATCTGGAGTTGTTTCTTGAACATCATTAGGAATAAAAATATCTTGATCATGTTCAATGACAACTGAAGGAAGAGTAACATGCTCTTCCTCAAAGACAAAATCTCTAACCTTATCTCCCCACCCCCCAAACTCAATATCCTCAAAGAACCGGGCATTACCCGTCTCAAAAACAGTCCTGGTAGTGGGATCATAAAACTTATACCCTCTTGACCTCTCAGAGTATCCTACAAAATAGCTACTAACTGTTCTTGAGTCCAATTTCTTTTCATTTGGCCTATAAAGCCTTGCCTCAGCTGGACAACCCCAAACATGGAAATGATTTATACTGGGTTTCTTTCCAGTCCAAATTTCATAAGGGGTTTTAGTTGTAGCTTTAGTGGGAACTCTGTTAAGTATGTAAGCTGCAGTTTTCAGTGCCTCTCCCCAGAGTGAATCGGGTAAAGTAGTATGACAAATCATACTCCTAACCATGTCCTTCAATGTACGGTTTCGTCTCTCAGCAACACCATTCATGCTAGGAGTTCCTGGCATGGTGTACTGAGGAACAATTCCACACTCCTCTAGGTATTTAGCAAATGGCCCTGGACGTTGTTCACCGGAACCATCATATCTACCATAGTATTCACCACCACGGTCAGATCTAACGGTTTTTATTCTTTTGCCTAATTGATTTTCAACTTCGGCCTTATAAGATTTGAACACGTCTATTGATTGGGACTTTTCATGAATGAGATAAAGGTAACCATAACGAGAGTAATCAT